AAAAGCGGGAATCTTTAAAACGGGGAATCTTCAAAAGCGGGAATCTTTAAAACGGGGAATCTTCAAAAGCGGGAATCTTTAAAACGGGGAATCTTCAAAAGCGGGAATCTTTAAAACGGGGAATCTTCAAAAGCGGGAATCTTTAAAACGGGGAATCTTCAAAAGCGGGAATCTTTAAAACGGGGAATCTTCAAAAGCGGGAATCTTTAAAACGGGGAATCTTCAAAAGCGGGAATCTTTAAAACGGGGAATCTTCAAAAGCGGGAATCTTTAAAACGGGGAATCTTCAAAAGCGGGAATCTTTAAAACGGGGAATCTTCAAAAGCGGGAATCTTTAAAACGGGGAATCTTCAAAAGCGGGAATCTTTAAAACGGGGAATCTTCAAAAGCGGGAATCTTTAAAACGGGGAATCTTCAAAAGCGGGAATCTTTAAAACGGGGAATCTTCAAAAGCGGGAATCTTTAAAACGGGGAATCTTCAAAAGCGGGAATCTTTAAAACGGGGAATCTTCAAAAGCGGGAATCTTTAAAAACGTAGCAACGTTTTGTTTGGTGGATGGCAGTGGCACTCGATTATTATTTTCTTTAGTAGCCTGAATGGTAAGTCAGCCATCAGCCCTATAAGCAGTTATGATTGAATACTCTGATCTACATCGTTTTTCGGTATTATCCTCAGGGTTCAAATAACAGCCGGCTGCCGGAGGCAGCTAGAACTTTGAACAAACTTGCTGGCGATTTTTGACCAAAGAACTAGAATTTTTATAAAAAATATTGTGCTTATTGATCGTCTAACTGAACTAAAAGTCGCTGTCCTGTTATGGTGAACATTTCATACCAGACAATAAAGCAGCCAAGAAATGTTTTAAAAGCTTTTTGGAAACGTAAACGAGTATAAAGTATCAAGATTTGAAGCGTGTTACAAGGAGTATCTTTGTTTACAGTATTCAGCTTTCTACGTATTCGTTCAAGCGTGAAACATGCAAGTTTGTGTACACCGTCACATTACCGTGTTTATGTTTCTGCACGTGCATACTACCTTAAATCGAGATTTATTTTTCGCCAATCCTGTTCAATGTCGTTTGTTTAGCCTTCTCACGCGTTCAAATTAAAGTCGAGGCTTAACATTACGGATTTCCCATGACTGTAAATGAAGAAGCTCGACAGTTTGTCTAGGCAAAGTTGAATATTTCACGCTTGAACAAACACCGAATTTTGGAAAATTAAACGAAACCTACCATTAAGTTGAAGTTTGAAAGAGATTCTACCGTAGCATTAGCAGGAATGAGGAGTCACGTGAGATAGCAAGCATGCGTATCCGAGCTCAGTCTTTAAAGGATTTGGATGACTTTGTAGAATGCAGTTGAAAGCATTGTTTAGTAAGAAAGTGAGTCAGTTTTATATCAGTAAATTTAACTTAAGTAAGTATAAATTTTTATAGTTTTTGATTACTTATTGTTGTCGCTATTTGTCTATGTTAGTTTTTATTTTTTTTTGTATTTTATCACAGGCAGTTTATTTAAAATAAGAAATCTAGAATTCTGTATAAACTGGCCTAATTACTCAGATATCTCTTTTTTATACTTGTATATATATTTAACTCCTTGTTTTTGTTTTTGTTTTGATTATCTGTGTAACTGAATTTGAGTATATAAATAAATAAAAATACACCTAGGCCCAGGGTACTATGGGGTATAGGGAGAGATGTGACCTCCTCATTCCTACCACTGCTACGGTAGAATCTCTATCAAACTTCAACTTACAGGTAAGTTTCATTTAATTTTCCAATTCTACCTCGCATTTGCATACAATCGGAGGTCACGTGAGATTTTAAAGCTCAAAGTCTCACAAAATCAGCCCTCAAGTGAAAGATGACATACACAAACTTTTACACAGTGGTCAATAGATTTTATGTAGTATAATGATGAGTAAAACCATACTTCACATGTGCAATAACAGTAAAATAAGACTGAATGTTATTTGCTGGCAAGCACAGCTTCTGCAAAATTGTTTTGCTTCACAACTGGTCTATTATAGAACCGTGCAAATACTGAATCTGATCTCCAGCCAGCTGTAGCCATAATATATTCAATAGGGACATCTGCCACTTGGATGCAGAGGTTGAAGCTGATCGTGTGCTATGACTTTTAAAAACACTAATGCCAATGTCAGCAGATTTCATGGTTTGTTTAATCCACTGATCTAGAAATTGAGTCTCTAGAAACTGGTCCATGAGGCTTAGCATAGGAAATAAGCAATTGACGACAGTCTTTTCGGAGGGAGGCAGTTCTTTCAAATTTAACAAAGTAAACACGCAAAGTTTTTTATCCAGAGCGTAACGTTTGAACATAATGGGAGACTAATGTCTGTTCTTCCTCCCACTGCTTCTGGTTTGTTTGAGACAAGAAGTTATGGTAAATGATATGTGTTCATGCTATCCAAAGATAATAACTGAAGTGTTTGCGTTCTTTGAGCAGACACCAGAGCCATGATCATGACTAGTTTTTGCGTGACAAGTTTCAGTGTGAGATCTTGAACATCGGGGAAATCTTTTAGATAAGCAAGTACTTGTTGTGGGTCCCAGGTTGTTACATATATAGGTAATGCAGGTTTGATGTTGAATAAACCTACCATGAATCTGGAGACAATAGGATGGCTTAAAACTCGGCGTCAATAACAATGAAACTTGATAATGCACTTTTAGCTGTTCCCACTGTACTGTATCCAGTAGACTTAGATAAGTGAGTCAAGAACTGAAGAACACTTTGAAGGCTTAGATTGATGTGGTGTACATTATGCTCCTCACAGAATTTTACCCTTGCGGTAACGTATGTTTGGTATTGTTTACGAGTCCCTGTTCTCCAGAACTGGAGTAGAATATCAAGTGGTTCGCCTGTAATGCCTTGTTTTGTCTGGGCTAGCCTGACACAGGACAGCCAAGGAGTTGTAGTTTTGGGTAAAGAGGGTGTATTTCCTCGCTATTGTGAGATAGCGTCAATGTTTTCCTGTTGATGTAAAGTAGTCGCTGGAACCAAAACTGAGTTTCTCAATAGGGAACTATCAGGATTGCAGACACCTTGTTGAACTGAAGTTTCTGAAGGACTTTCCCTATGAGACTAAAAGGTGGGAAGCAGTATATTAGTTGAT